CACTGGTCCCACTGAACAGGAGATAGATTCTGTAAGTATAAAGAAGGATTGTGTAGGAAAAGGTAAAGTTGCCTTTAAAAGGAAGCAGGATTGAATATGCATTTATACATGAGCTTTTTGTTTAGTTTAGGAAAGAAATATAGCTAGATTGGAAGTGGTTCACTACATAAAACTTCCTTAAAATTGTTGCGCTGGAAAATATATCCTCTCTACAGATAGTCTCAGCAGGAGAATGGGTGACAGAGAAATGGAGTCATCAGTGAAATTTCAAACTAAATGACTTAATTATCCATGAGATTATTTGATAAAAACTGAAGTGCTTTGAGATTCCCAGAGGATATGCATTCTTACACATGCATACAGAGCTCAATCTGCTGGCAGTGCTGGGGAAATAGGACTAGTTATTCTTTGAATGTCCCAGGCTAGATCAATAGCGTATAAGAAGAAAGTATTCCCTTTACTAAGGAAGAATTCGGGGTATCAGTAGGGTTTCTTTGCATTTGCGTGTGTGTTATCACATGTGCTCTGGTCCATACATCCCTGTCATTTGCTTTCCTGCCCTTTCTCCTCCTTTTGTAGCAGTTCCACACATTGAGCTGGAGAATCTCACTAGCAACTTAGTCCTGGACAAGTTTGAGAGGGAGAGAATGAGAGAAAAGTAAAAGCAATACACAATCCTTCCAGATCTCTTTGAATCCTTCAAGTCTGGCTGGGCTTGCTTTGCAGACCTGTGTTTGCAGCATTCATTGATGGGGACCCTGGAATGTAGAAAATCATGCTGGAGAAGGAGGAGAAAAACAATTACATCTCTCTTGGCAAACTATCAGCTGTGGGAAAGGATGGAGAGAAAACCTTTGGGAATGTCCTGCGTTAATAAGAAAAGGGATGCAACTGGTTGTATGACATGGGAGCAGCCAACCTCAAATGATGAGGTGATGCTTTTTCTTCCTGGAAAACCTCAGAAGGGAGGTCTTAGCACAAGTCTTCATTGCAGAGTTAACTCAGACCACCAGAATCCACTTCAACTGTGGTGAGGGAGAGCAGCCACGCTACAAAACCTGACTTGCACCATTACTTTCTCACTCATCCTATGCTGCACTGCATTGCCATCATGTCAGGAAAAAAATATCAGGTGCTTAGCAAGCTAAATCTCTGTGATTCTTCCCAAAGAAAGCAAGTCTTCTATTTTCCTAGGAAAACCATGGAGAGTAACTGAAGGACAGGTAGTGCTTCAAAAGCTTTGTCTATAATCTTTTTGTGGAGCACCGGCTGGCTGTCACTGGCTGATAGTTGTAGCCACTAGCCTTAGACAGACCAGCTTGCCCAGGCAGAAAGTATCACTGAACTCAGGTGTAGAGAGGGGTTATGTGGACCAGAGAAAAGGTGCTCAGGATAATTCTGCAGTGAAGAAATAATCTCAGAAATTCTGAATCTTACTCTAGCGTTCCTGTCTCTCATGGACTTAAAGATCAAGTGTTGTCAGGGCCTGAGCATCTAAGGAATTTCATTTTGCCACTAGAAAAAAAAATAAGGAAAAGAGAGAGAGAGGTCTGACTTTATCACACTTGTGAGATTGCATCTGGCCTGTATCTGGGTGGTGCTTCTCCAGATTTCTAGGATACACTGATGATGGCCAAACACCGTGGACTGTTACATGACAGGATCTGAGTGGAATAACTGGATTTGGTCCATCCTTCCGATAAGTCATGGAAAGAAGATGGAAAAGATTCAGGTCTGACTGGAGAACTGATATTGAACATCAGAGCAAGGAAAAGAATCAGGAGGCTGGGGATCCTGCATTTCACCTCTACCATTCTTGGTTCAAAGCCAGGTTTGGAAGGAAAGCTACCTATCCTATGAGGACAGAGCAGGATCCACAAAAGCAGAAGGTGCTGCAGATGAGGCCTATAATGCTTGTGGAGTATCCCAAACAAGGCCTGTAGCTGCAAGTAATGTGAGATGTGAACTAATGCTGAGATGCATCTGCTAAGCTATAGGGAAGAAGCCTGCACAACTGCTGGCTTCAAGCAGGTCTGCTAGGGTCTGCTCATGAAACTAATGTGGCTGCCTGCTAGGTAACAGCTGAATCATATACAATTCACTTGAACCTCTCCAAATTTCAAATTCTTCAGCTGTTAAACAAGCACAGATGTAAACAGTTGTTGGACAAGTTTTAGTTCCCACCTGCTAATATATGAGCTGCAGCAGTAGGCCATACCCCAGCATCCCCTAGTTAAGCATCTGAAAACATCTATGTGTGTTCTGATTTAAAACTGCTTATCATCCCTCCTCTCTAGCATGCTGCTATGGCAATTATGAGGGTTTATCTTGGCTTCAGAAGTCAGTCTCTTCCCTCTGAATGTATAGGAACACTTGCCAGGGATAACCTCAAGTTCCTGTAGCAGCTGAGAGGAACTATCTCAGAAGAGACTGATGTGATGAGGAGTCACTTGTCACCAGACACAAGCACAGTGCCATCCAGGATTGTTCTCTGATTGAATTTACTCCCTTTCTGCTATAATATCCAGCACACCCTATCAGGCCCTCTTCATAGAGGATCTTCATCAGTGCTCTGAAAATGGGAGTTCCACAGCAGTGCTCTGTCTGGTGGCAGATGTGACCCCAAAAGGTGAATAGATTTGGTGTCTCCGTTTTTGGAAGTACATTTTCCTTTTCTGTTTTGTCTTTTTTTTTTTTGCAATTTACAGTCACTTTCTATTTGTTTGTGCAGAAGAATAAACTTGTGATATGCACTTTACGTGTGGCATTTTGTCACCTTTGCTTGGCACCCAGAAGGAAGTACTGTTCAACTCACATGCAGTTTAGCACTACCACAAACTTCTAAAGCCATGAGAACATAAGGAGTCCAAAAAAAGGATAGGAAGTCTTGACAACAAAAATACTTGGGCTTAAGTTGGCCTTAAAGCTTCTACACATTAAAAAAAAAAAAGACCCTGAAAGCAAAAAGTTAAATGAGATGTAAACTTTGGTACTACAAGTTATAAAACACTCACTTTCTAGTAAGACAAAGAAGAAATTTCCTTATGGTTGGTGTCACAGCCTGATACAAAAATCAGCTCTGCCTGTGCCTGTCCACTCTCAGCATAGCCTTTCATAATCCTGCTCTGCTCTAGCCCAGTGATCTATGTCTACAACAGAAAAAAATCCAGATAGGAATCCACAGAGGTGCCAGCTGTGAGTCTTTTCCAAATGCCTCTTCTTGTCTCAGTTATAGAACAGAGAGGAGTCAGTGTGAAATCTGGCCCTGCAAATTCCTGTTGTCCTAAGCTGTAGGGCTGTTAACAATCCCATCCTAGCAAAAGATCAGTCCAAATCTTTACGCTGCAAGGATGGGGCACAGCACCTGGCACAACCTAAAATGTATGTAGTCATCTTTCCCAGGCTCAGCCTGCATTCCTCTACTATCCCCTGCTTGTAAATCTGGTGTTAACAACAGTTTGTCAGCTCCAGTAAGTCCAAATACAAATCTACATTGTACAACCATTCAACTTATTAACTGAAAGATCAGAATATCCGATCAGTCAGAAGACCAAGTATAATCCACTAAGGATAGCCTCCAGCTCTAACACTAACCCAGTTCATGTTAAAGTCTGTTCAATTTGGGGTCCTGAGAGTTTCATTGCCCTCAGTTTAGGTCTAGTGTTAGCAGACCTTTTTTCCTAGATGTATATCACTCACAAGTAGAAATTCCTGAGCCCTACTGGAGATGCAGGGGTAAGCTGTAGGATCAGACTTGCAGACTGGGCTCTGGTATAGCTATCATTTTATGGATGTTTCTCAGATTAATTGCTTGCATGGTGGTCTTGAGGTGGACCTTGTAACCATCCAGCATATTTCTGATTGATCTGTGGATGGGAAACACACAAATGAGTAAAAAAGTCTGCTGATGCCAAAGTGAGCTTCAAGTCCAACCAGAAACTCAGTTCCCAAAGAAATAAGTCTACAGATGCACAGGCTACAGATTAGGACTGCATCTTGTTTTGCTGTCAGTTAAAGCTGACATAGTAGGATTACGAGCTATTCCAGATGGTTTAACACATTGCAGGACAGTTGCTGTGTTCAGGGCTCTGATTAAATTCCCTGTTAACCTCTGTAACCTTCTCAAGTGAGAGTCATTTCTTCTCACAGCAGGTCATGTCAGAAGGAGCCAGAAAAACAGACTTTCAAATGTGGAGGGGGAGCCAGCTATGAGTTTACTGACCCAAAGCAAAGCCAAAGGATTATTGAATGGCTAACACAGAAGACTAGGGATGAAAGTGGACTACAGTGTGCTACTCAGCATTTTGAAATAAGAAAGTACCAAGGTGCTTAGTAGGGATACCTGCCTCCAAACAATCGTTCTAGTTGGAAGGAGAAGTGTCCAGCAAAGTGCATGCCAAGCACGTATACAGAATATACAAAGAGTAAGGATATTTGCTGGCAGTACAGACCTATAGCTTTAACGGCCACTAGATGTTGCCACTGTTCTTTTCCAAATTATCTGGAGTTTTGGCATTCACCTGATGTAGTGTTAGATCTGGAGGGTGTAAAATCGTAGGAAATCCTTCCCTCCTAATCTATCCAGTTTTGGCACTCACATACGACATTTCTTAGTACCACGTGCCAGAGGAGAAGACCAGCCTCATACCAGGGAGTTTTGGCAGTGGGAGGCCTGATGCAGCACAGAGGGCATTCCTGGGTTGCAGCACGTGGAGCATGCAGACAAACAGGCTGCCCAGCAAGGAACACCCCACAGTTACGCCAGCTATTCTAACACCCACTCCAGCATTGTGATCAAACCCTACATATTTCTGTCCCAGCCCTAAATCTCATCATGCATTTAGCCCACGTAGTGGCAGGAGAGAGCCTAGCATTAACTATTTGTCCTATTGTGTTGCTACAACAAAATACTGTCAAGGCAAGTCTGCGTAAAATTGGAAGAGATTAAGCATATAATACATATTTTAAACTATCAAATAAAATAACATAAAAAGACGTACTTGAAAATAAAAAAACTCCTTCCTCAAAAACCAACGTGAATGTTTTGCAACTTCTTCTAGAACAGATCAAATTACATTGAAGTCTTCTGCTTATGAATGTATTCACTGTGTTGTAGTCCTGGGCTCCAGGGAGAGAAAGGAGCCAAGCCACTCTGTATCCCTGGAAAATTAAAACAGTGAAGGTTATTTGTCAGACAAACTCTGCCTGCCAGGCTTTCACACAGTCAAAATCTGCTTGGGAGACAGCCCTGCTGAGGACTGGCTCTTACTTATGCCCATCTAGTGCTACCTAATGAGACAGATCTCATCTGCTGCTCTTGAAATGATTTCACAGACATCAACAATTAGGAGTCAGATCGTTTGAAATTAGGCACGTGGGAACTCAGCACAAAAATGAATGTTGAGTATACTGGACAGAGAAAGCAATGCTTTGTGCAGGCTGTTCCTGAGGCCACTTAAGTAAAAGGTATTTTTGGAAAGAGGGAGGTGGCCACAGTGACACGCGGGCAGTTCCTTCTATGATTAAAAACTCCTCCCTGAAGTACTGCAATGTCCTGGAGGCAGGAAACGTACTATCCTTGCTGACCTACGTGGAAACTCCATACTCAAGCAAGGACTGAACTTGGCCCCCAAATCTCACCACAATCCAAGATGGGGAAAAGCAACAACAACAAAACAACGCAAAGAAACAAACAAAAACACAAATGAAAAACAAACAAAAAGAGAAACAAAAAACACCCATGCGACTCATCAAGCAAGTCTTCTAGTGATTTAAAGCTTTGAGGCTCGAGTAGAGCCCTACACTACTTATTATCTACATTGTTTTCATCCTATTACTGAAAGCAGAGATAACATTGAAATAGTATCACCAGTGGAAAAATCCATTAAGCTGCTGAACCTGGCAACATGGCGGACCACAAGTGCAGTCTCTCCTAAGCCTGCCAAAGATGCTTCTAGATTACTGAACTACATATTTCTATTTCCCAGGGAAACTGCATAGAGAGAAGGAAGGAGCAGGATTTAGTTTTCAGCCTGGCAACTGAAAATGGAGACATATAGTTTTATCTGAAGACAGAGTAGGAGGTGAGAATCTCAGTTAAAGATGTGCCTTGGTGGTGAAGTGTCAGACACAAGACTGCTTTATCCAAATCGCCCTACAAATCCTGGTGCCATACTAATAGGATAAATCCTCTCTTACATTCCGTATGTGTTCAAAGCTCTGGCTCTGTTCAGTATGCTCCAGCTGCAATCTTAGGTCCCACATCTCACCGTATTTGCCTTGCCCCTAACCTCACTTGTCTCTTGCATCTTGGGATGGGGATAGAGGATTTTGGTCTCCTGGAGGTATAATTTGTGCACATGAAAGCACTGGAGATGACTGGAAAAATAATGCAGCAGCTATAAAATGGCCTGAAAACAGTTGCTAGAAGCAAGTAGAGATGAGGCTGAGTAAACACTGTCTCAGCAGCTGCAAGAAGGTGCCAAATAGTGGGAGCTGCATTTCTCAGCTTTGTGTCCCATAGTATAAATCACAGAATCACAGGATTGTAGGGGTTGGAAGGGACCTCCAGAGATCATCGAGTCCAACCCCCCTGCCAAAGCAGGTTCCCTACAGCAGGTCACACAAGTAGGCATCCAGGCAGGTCTTGAACATCTCCAGAGAAGGAGACTCCACCACCTCCCTGGGCAGCCTGTTCCAGTGGCTTGCATTTGAATTGAATCAAATCACATTCACTAGTTGATTATTGAAAAGAAATAGGCCCCCATGGGTCATTCTGGTGTATCTGCTGTTTTCAGTGAAGAATGCAACACTTGTCTGGACAGTGGGAAGCTTATAGCAAAGCGTTACGTTTTACTCCAGATGTGAATGGAGAAGATTAAGTGCTGTGCTATAGGCACAATGTGTGGTACACACATAGGTGATGTGGATACAAGTGAGGGGAAAATGGGAAAAATTAGGCTAGCAGATTGCCAGATGTGCCCATAGGTCTCTACTTCCTCCTCACATATAAAGGGTACAGCCGTCTTAATGCTTTGTGCTTTTCAACACACTGATCACTTTGGGAAGTTTTATACTCATTTGGTGCATGAAGAAACAGCTGTGCAAAGAAAAAGTGCCCATATCCTGACACTATCAATTTTACTTACAATTCTGCATGCTGAAGACTTTCTACTACAAACAATGCTGTGTTATTTTTCCCCCACTAGATTCTAGGTTTATTTATTGAACAGCTTGATTCTGATCTGATGTGAAATGGAGAGAACATTTTCTGTAGGATTTCTGCTTTACATGAAATCTGAAAGGTATGTACACCTTTGGGTAACCTAGTAGGATGAGATACATTCTCTCCATCCTAGAAGGAAAACCCAAATGATTATGGGGGAGCAGGTAGAGTTGCCTCAGAAGAAGCAAGCAGGAGCTAAAAGAGAAGAGTAATTTGCACACACAGAGCTACACAATGTGCAGGCAACCAATCTTATTTCTTCCATGAATCCAGAAATGAGTCTCCTTGCAGTTTGATTCTTCTGGCTTTCCCACACACATTGCACAAGCTACTTCCTAAGTCTCTCTAAGTAGCTTTCTAGACTTTGCACTACTTCTTATTTCATGCATATGATTATTTTATTTCTATGCTTTCTGGTGCATTATTTGAATGCCTGGCATTTTAAAAGTTATATATAAGAACCTAGAGGAGGTTGAGTTTAATGATGGAGAGGGGAGGGGACAGAAGATGGATGTAAAGAAGAGCATGACCTCAGATTGTTTTTTTGAGGCCTTACTGAGAAAAAGAATATTGAGAAACTATTACTAAAATGCAATAGAAGGAAGGGAAGAAGAGGAATGGCATATTGATTTGAACAGAAGGAGTGAGGAACGTATGGAGTGCCTGGCCTTCCTGAGTACTCAGGCAGGGACTGCAGGAGGCCCAAGGAGCAACCTTTTCCTTTCCCCTTTCCTCAGGGCTTGTGGCAGTGCTATCTGAGACTCTGCACTCTGAGCTGTCAGTTATTAATAACCTCAGGATGCCTGTGCAAACAGACTTCAAGAGTCGAATTCACAGCACTCTGCATCAGCACTTTGTGCTGGGCAGAGCTTGCCTGCACCCAGGAGGTACCCTGGGTGAGTGGGGCTGCTGGAAGAGCCTCCCCAGCAGTATCCACAGACAGGTTGGGAGGAAACGGCCCACTGCTGAGCTGTGGGGCAGGTGCATGAGCTGGTCTGAACGTGGCACTGCAAGCCTGAGGTGAGTTGACCTGGAAAAAAAATAATTTAGAGTAGAGGCTGGAGAGTGTAATGACTAGTTTGGTTTGTAGCAAAAACAATCAAATGACTGCTGCAGAGTCATGTAGGAAAAGGCAGAACAATTGCTCAAGGGAGAAAAGAGTAATTGTGGCCTGACTTTGTGTATGGGATAGCAGGGAAGATGGGGACTGAGGCTCCAGCAGCATCCCATGACGGGGTAGCAGGAAGAGCAGTAGTCATGGTGCGGATTTGGGCCCTGCCAATACTGAAGACGGCTGCCATTTTCCTATGCTAAACTCATTCCAGGTAGTAGGTTTTCTACTCCTCAGTCCTGATGGATCAGTGAGGGACAGCAGAAAGGGACAGACTGTTCCTTGGGAATTAATATACTGGAGGCAATTCCCTAATGGTGCCAACTCTTCCTGTCTTGTCCCAAGGAATCCACATTTGGGGCATGCAGACGATTTCCCTCTGTTTTGCCAGTCTTGTGGCCCATTAGATGGGCTGTAACCTTCCAACCCCTGACTCTTGGCAGTATTGCCCCTTTCCTGTCAAATAAGACCTCCTTCTTTTATATAGCCAAGCAGATGTCTGCCTGCTCGGGGAGAATGTGCAGCGCATGCTTTATGGCTGCACCTGCTCACATTTGCTTAGGGAATATGCCTGGGTGGGCTCTTCTACAATATGAACTACACTGGCAGCATCTCAGTAGAGAAAAGCTTGGAAATCAGAAAGGAAAACAAATAATCTGAGAGAGTATCTGGCAGTATGATTGGAGCTGTCTTAATGGGGCTGGGCTTTCAGCTGTTGTTGCCACCTCATCACAGGAAAATCATGTTGCAAAAGGAGCAATGGTGGAATAAAACTGCAAAACACATGGAAGATAAAAATGTCTCAAGCACAACAAGGGCAGCGCGCAAACTCCTGGAGCTACTTCTTTGCTTGCTAGTTTATACATATAACTGTATTTACAGTTATATAAATATAACTCATAGTTCAGTGTCTTCTGCTCTGAAATTTTAAGCAAGTAAAGCTGCAAGGACAGAGATGATCAGTTACCATATTCTCTTGCTGAAGCCAATGGATCATTACTTGTTTATATTTCCACTGTACTGTATTATATGAGGATCTGTCTCCCTGTATGCTGTTGTTTGGGCACTAACAGTGCTAAAGTGAAGGCAAGACATTAGACCTACTTATGTTATGCTGCGTTATGTGTGATAACCCCCAAGAGGGACTGAAGATGCCTGAAGTGGAATTACTCAGATTTCTCTGAGCTTTCCCTGACTTTAAACTACTTTTATCCCATCTGGGGACAAAGATGGAAAATAGAGTACAAGACGAAATTTCCCTGTTCCTCTCCTCCCCCCCCCCTCCAAAATGATACATGATAAGATCAGTACATAAGATAAAGGAGCAACTGACTTCAAACAACTTGGACAAACAAGTTTTGCTTTAATAGGTTTGCCTGTGCCTTCTTTCTCCAGCCCTCCTGCAACAAATCAGAACGATGTAGGGTTTTTCGTTTGTTTTGCAGGAATTGCGGTATAGTGAGTTTCTGAATATTCTAATCATCATAAAACTGTCAGAACATCCAAATCAAACTGGCACATCATTCAAAATGCTCCCAGATATCCCATGGACAGACTGAATATCTTTATCCAAAATCATATATAACCTCCAAATGATAACTGCATGGTATTATAGCATGTTATGACAGAGCAATTTTTCAAACTGATGCTTTGTTACTGCAGCACAACAAGGTAACAGAGTACCACTGTGGCACATCTGTGTGCTGGGAGACTGCCACATTGCAACTATAATGTCTATTTTGGATGGAAATTGCTATGTGGTGCTGTTGCAATGCTTCTGCTGTGACCTGTTGCTGTATTTTGTGTCCTAATGCAACGTCTTCAAAGAATACCATAATATTCTGCTCCTTCATGCGGATGGGACAGAATAGAACCTGTGTGTGAAATGAAGGCCATGTGTCTCTTAACTGTAGATGGCAACTAAAAGATAGGCAAAAGATACCTTTCCAGTGTTTCATTCTCCATTTCCTTGTGTATTTAGAGCAAAGCAGAGAACTCTTTGTGGGAATGCCCCTAGCAGGGACTCCTGCTCCTCTTAAAAGGAAAAAGCCCACAAAACTCATTGGGAAGCTGA